TAATAATAATAATAATGATGTTACCTGGTGGTGGCAGGAGTGAGGGGGAAGCACAGACAGCATAAAAAAGCCCAAATGCAGCCATCCAATATTTCTACTGTTTTTCAGAAACCAGACAATCTGCTTGGCCAAACCAAATGCAATAAGCTATAGACACATCAGTTTATTTTGCAAAGCACATTAGGAAATACAAACCTTTATCCAAGTAAGGACATAGTGTCCTCATGTCAAATACATGGACATAAAGTTCATAAAACTGTGCAATTAATTCACACACCCTTCAATCTATCCTGTTGAAGTTTTTTTGTAGGGTTTTAGGATGTTTTCTCCTAGTTTGAACAGCCACCCTCAGATCTAATCATATGGTTACAGATATCACATACCTTGGTTTTAACCTTTTCCAATTCCTTTTGCAAGCGCAGCTTGTCTTCCTCCAGGTCACTGCGGTAGCGCGTCGTAACTTCAAGTGAAGCTTCTGACATAGATTGCTTTTTAAGGGCATCAGCAAGCTCCTGCTGCAGCTGTCTGACTATGACCTAACGAACCAGTTAAATGAGCACGAAAAAAATTTGTAAGAAAATGAAATATGCCTTTAATTTATTTGATTATACATTAGACCTGTCTTCAGATCGAACTCAAAGGTATGAAATTTTGCCTGCCACCTGCAGGCATCTGCACAGATGACCTCTCTTCATCTTTCTCAGCTGAGCACCTCCAAACTATTAGTAGCTGCTCACAAGGATTTCTGTTTCCTAACACATAAAAAAGGCTCAAGTATTATTCTCCTCAGAACAATACACAAGCACACACTGCAATTGTGTATTTTTTTCCAACAAAACCCAAAGAAATCTGTTGTTATATAAGAGCCACAGTTTGACCGCAGATAATACTGATGACCAAAGGCAGGAGCTTGTATTAGATCGTTCTTTGTTCTATTCTCCATTATGCAAATATAATTAAATGAACACATATCTGAAAGGTCTTATGAGATACACTTTAAGTATATATTGAACCACATCCTCTTGCAGTCTTACCACGTCCATTTTAGAATAACAACTGCCATTGTACTGACAGATTAGCTTAACAAAAATCTGGATAGTTCATATCTATCTATTTATCTATCTAAATATATATCTAGTACCTTCAAAAGGAACCTGTTATTTGGGTAGGAAAAATACAAAGTAATTTACAGATTAAAATGATTGATATCACTGCTGGAGTTCTCCCTTCCCCTTAAAGTAACTGACAAATGAAGAATAACGTGGTTATCTGACACATGCAGATATTTACCTCACTCAAAGATTCTGGGTTTGTTACGAAGAAGGAAATTTAATTTTAAATCACTAATCAATCATTAAGGGAGACAAACCTTACACCAGAGTGTCTAAATACTTAATGTGATTAGCTCCCATTTCCCAGAAAGTAAAGGAAGATTAAACAAGAAGGATATGGCAACTTTTAAATCACTGCTTTACCTGGAATTGATAGAATACTTTATCAATAGAGAATACCCCACCTGCTCCTAGGAACATATATAATAATGCACTCTCCCATTACCTGTAGCTTTATCAACTGCCTATCTATTCCTCACTCCTACCCTGCCTTTATTCTCTTCCATCTTTTTTCTTGACAAAAATCATCTACATGCAGAAACGGGAGCAACATTTGATTCATGCATGTTTGAGCAACGTAAAACCACACCAGTGCTCTGCACAGGAACATGTTTCATATACATGTACTGTGTGAATTTGCAGTTTCACTGATGTCCTAATGAGTCTTCTGACCAGTTAATTCATCTATCATGGAGCCACAAAGAAAGAACAAATTAAATATAGCTACACATCATAAAACAGAGAAGAGAAACCTTCGGTCAGTGTCTGGAACGAGCTTCTTGAAGAACAGGCAGGACCCTTAGAATCCCCAAACACATACATAAATTAACACCTGGACACTAATAATACTCTTCAATTTTGATAGCAACTTAGAGAGAAGTGATTTCTTTTCTCTGTAGGAGTTTAATTTATCCCTCATCACTTGTCCGCATCTTCATTTCTCAACCCTCACATATTAGATGGTTCTTCCTTTTATACTACTCTTTATGTCGTCAGTACTATACATACATACATATATGTATGTATGTATGTATGTAACTCCATCGAATACATAAAAACCATTCTATAGGGCATAAAACAGACTAAGGAAAAGAGAAAAAAAGTTCTAGAGAAGAATGACCTTTCCTGATCAAAGCTTAGACTTAGATACCTTTTTCTGTTCTCTGCTCAGATCCGAGCGGTAACATCCTGTTTGCTGAAACCTTTCACAGCTCCAAAAGAAACATGAAAAACCATAACAAATCAGCATTATTTGGTGCCATGCTACATTTGAGAAACATAAAATAATTCCAAGAACTGACAAACTTTAAATTGCTCTTTCCAAGTGTATACTTTACCTCTCTTTCTACTTTGTCAGTCTCATATTTAAAGACTTGTTCTCTCAAATCAGTACACTTAGCATTTAATTCCTTGTTTCTCTCTTCCACTAGGTAAACTTGCTTTTCAGTATCAGCTCTGAGCTTGTTGAAAATATCATTAAACCGGTCCTGCACATCATTCACTACTTTTTCTTTGATGATCCCCTTGTTCTGCATATCTTCCAGTTGCTGACGGAGTAAAAGGTTTTCACTCTGGAGCTGGGCCAATCGCTCCTGCATGGATTCCTGCTTTATTAGAAGCTTGCTTACTTGATCTTTCTCAAGTTGTCGAGCATGATCGCATTCCTTTGCCTGACACTGGGCTTGACTTAAGTCTTTTTGTGTCATTTCTAAAAGCAACGCTTTTTCTCTGAGTGTTTGTTTCAACTGGTGAAGCTCATTTTCTAGACTATTAGCTTTGCTTTCAGCTTTACTCAGCTGCTGAGACAAGCTGTTGTTGGTTTCTCGCACATCAGAGAGGTCATGATGGAGCTTGTCTTGCAAGCGAAGCCATTCATCGCGTTCTCTCTGAAACGTTCGTTCAACATCGCTTTTTGATGACTGATGACGTTCAAGTTCTTGAACAGTAGTGTTCAGGCGGGAACGAAATGATTCGATTTCTGTCTCTAGTCTGTCTTTGCTTTCTTTTGTCTGCTCAAGTTTGGAAGTTAGCACAGCAGATTCGGTCTTTAATAAGTTCAGCTGTCCATTGTACTGAAAAACTGTTTGTGTTAAGGCTTCCTCGTTCAGTTTAAGTTCCTTTTTGAGATCTTCATTTTTTTCTTTCAAGGTCTCGTTTTCCTCTAAATATTTTCCTTCTTCCTCCTGGTGCCTAAGTCTTACTTGGTCAAGTTCCAGTCTTAGCATAGCAATCTCATCTTGCAGTAACTGATTTTTGTACAACAGATCTTTTTCTCTCTCAGAGTCAGATTCCTGAATGACAAGGAACATGAATAAATAGCCAGCTGGGAAATGAATCTACAAAACCACTTCAGCATTAAACTTGCATTTTAACCTTTCTAAGACTGAAGCATGACTTCAAAAATGAGAGTGAAATTTCCGGTAACACGTAAGCTACTCTATGAACTCATGCACATGTGCAACACAGGCATGCAATGGAAGCGTAACATACTCTTAAAACCTCAATGAACCTCTCAAATATACATTGCTTTTTTTTTTTTTTCCTTAAACCAGCCACCAAGTAATAAAATTATTTTAAATATCTCAAGTATAAAGCTTTTAAAATGACAATGCCTTCTTGTATATGCATGCCTTAAATTAACCTCAAAGGGAATATTTTAAACTGTGTTACAAATCTGGTAAAAAGAAGCTTAAAAAAGGTATTCTCCTTCTCGAACATCTTCTTAACCCTTATCTTTTTGTATTACTAAAAGTTAGCTATACAACTCAATCATCCCTGGAACGCAATAGCCTTGTATATTTCTTATTCATTGCATATTGTTTATTACATATACGACTTTTTTTTTCCACATAAACATATTCACTCTACATTTACTGGGCAGCACAGCCAAAACCAAACAATTCTTCCTAGAACTGCACATTCTTAGTAAATTCAGTAAATTATTTTCAAGATTTGTTTGTTGGTTGATTTTTTTTTATACAGTGTCTTTATGATTGCTTTTTCTCCTCCAATTATTGTAACGCCTACAGAGTGTTTAATTCATTGATGATATTCCTTCACAAAATTTTAGTATGTGGAGGTGGAAAAGAAAGGCACATCTGAAGTAAGTTTGATAAGGGAATAAGTAACTAAAAAAAACAAGTAATGGGAACACACAGAGTGAGCGTCGAACAACTTTCTTCCTGGTCAACCTTGTTGTAGGTAGCTAGGTGTTTCACTACTAGAACCCTTAAAAAGTGATGATAAAACGTCTATGAAATGAAAAATAACAGATAGCTTAAGAAATGGAGTAAATAGTGTCTTCTATTAGTTTCCTACTTGCACATGCAATTCAGGTACATACAGGACTGATGCTGCTTTCTGGAACTTTTAAAGACATAAGGGAAAATAGAAAAGGTATTTACACAGTTAAGTTACACTGGTAAATAATCCATCGAGAAGCAGAAAAAGTTACGTAAAATTTATTATGACTTTAGAATGAACATGGTGAAATTTAATTAATTAGAAAAAAATACATCTGCTTACCTCTGAATTTTTTCCTATCGTTCTTCTTGTCTCTTCTTCTAGTTCCTTTTGTCTCCAAAGGTGGTTGTTCAAAATCCCTTCTTGCAGGGCTCTGGCACTCTTTTCCTGAGAGAGCTGTCTCTGTGTTTCATCGCGCTCTTCTTCAACCTACAGTAATACAATTAAACTACTTGCATCTTGAGAAAAATCAGAGCTAACATTATCTCTCTGTTCTCCTTTGTATTTTTGCAAATATTTTCGCTTCCCCACAGTTATGATAACCCATCTACAAATAATAAATTCTAATTTTACTCTGAAAAATTAAGAAAAAAATAGAGAATGTTTTGTAGTAATTTAGAAAAATAACTCAAAGTCAGGCTTTGCCTGAAATACAAATGAAACCTAAACTTTGAAAAAGGAGAAAAGGAATCACAAAGGAAATCAAAGAAGGGAAAAAAAAAAAAACAGCTGTCCTGAACCTTTCTCAAAATTTGCAACAGTTATCCAATATCTCTTCCATGAACAAAGTATCTTCTTCTTTAGACATACGGGAATATAATGCCAATTAAACAGAAGGAGAAGATAAGATGACTGGTGTTTAACCCATTATTTAATATACCTGTTTCAAGAGCTTTCTCAGTGTTATTAACTCCATTTCTAAATTCCTGGAGTGTAACTCAAGTTGCTGTTTCTCCTCCATCTCTTTACAATATTGATCTTCTTTCCTTCTGAGTTTTTCCTTTGTTTTCTCATATAGTGTTTCTACTCTGAGCCTCTTTTCCTCTTCTTGTTTCAGAGTAAATCTGGGATTTAACAGCATATTTGAGGAACTACATTACTGATACAAAAAGTAGGTATTCCACATTATGAACTTGCAGAGACAACTTAAACCATAAAAAAATCTTAAATCTTTTCAGATTTCATATTTTTACTGTAATTTTTAACTTTTTGAAGAATTCTAACTTATCCATAGTATCACTTGTACAAGATATGGAAATGAACCATTGAATGATTTATCATTTATTTGTAAGTAAATTTGCACAGGTAAATATACAGTAGTATGCACATTTCTATGATTTCTTTAGAAAAATCATCTTCATGTTATAGACACTTTATCCAAAAGGAGTTCATTGTCTTACCAGATCAAAGCATAATAAACTTTTACTATGATTAAATACATTTTCTGAATATGCTGAGCATTGCCTACATATTACAGCTTCAGTGACTGCGACTAATACTGATGAAGCAGCACTCAACTTATCTATGAATTTTTTATCAAGCCTTCTGTAAGTCTAAAACAACTGCTGACCATAGGAAAAGCAAGCACCTTCTATTTACTCAAGAATGAGGTCAGTGTTCAAAAATAGATTTAGCAATGCACAGGGTTCAAGCTTAATACGATTACAAATACTTTTAAACCTCAATAGATCTACATCTAGGAGAAACAATAGCAGTGTATTTTGGAAGCTAATTTGTAATGAAAGCCTTAGGAAATGCTAGCTTCTTTACTAAACAATCAGCAGTAAGTACCAATATGGTAAAAAACGGCCCATGGTGTGTCCATGGTAGCCAAACAAGAAAGCAGTATTATGTTTGATAACTATTTTGAATATTTTTTTCTGATATCATTGCAATGGTCAACAAGAAAAAAAATATATCAAGTATGAACATAAGGAAAGAGCTGCCAACTGAAAATATGCTTTAGAAATTTTGCAAAACAACTATCAGCAACCACTAAAATGATTTGAAAGATCGACAATAACATTTGTATTTGAATTCTTTATACTGCAAGAAAAAGCTTCACAGATAATTTTTAGTGTAATTTCACAAAAAGTATAGCTTTTTTAAGTGTAAAGTTAACATTGCTTTGAGAATTCAGCTAGAATTAAAATATTAATTATTTGTAATGGATAGATATTGAAGAATTTTGAAAAATGGCTGGAGTCAAATCCAGGCCAAGTTGGGACTGATTTTGTCTTCCTCATAATCCTCTTGCATGTACTGGGAGCCACAACTCCTCGAAGCTCAGTTCCCTCAGCCTCTCCTCACAGGACTGGTGCTCCTGCCCCCTGACCAGCTTGGTAACTCTTCTACTGAACTCACATATGTCAATTAAGTAAGATCTCTTGTACTGGGAGGTCAAAAATTGGGCCTAGTGCTCTAGACACAGTTCAGCAAGTGCTGCGTAGGGGCGGATAATCACTTTCCCTCAATCTCCTGGCTATGCTGCTCTGAACACAGCCCAGAACGTTGTTGGCTTTCTCAGCTGCCACCTCATACTCGCTCACGTTGAGCTTGTTCTCTGCCAAGACTCCCAGGGCCTTCTCAGCAAGCTCCCCAGCCAGGCCATCCCACAGTACATCATCACAAGGGCATCTTCCTTCCCAAGTGCAGGGCTTCGCATTTGTCTTTGGCTGAATTTCATATAGTGCTTGCTGGCCACTCTTGTCTGAAGTGATGTGAGCAGTGCCTGAAAACCTCACAACATCCAGGTCTAGCTCAGGAGCATGGGGAAAGGGACAATCTCGAATTTGACCTTTCAAATAAACAAACTAGCAAAAAACAAATGCTGTAAACTCTGTTCTGAGTTGCACTCTGTGGAGTTTCCAGAATTCCTAATATTGTACACCAACACAAGCTGCAAAGACAAAATAATAATAAAAAAATGTCTCTCATAAATCTCTCTTGTAAATCTCATTTTCCCATAAATACTCTCTTGCTCTCTCCTCTTGCTACTAAAAAAAAAGTTAACATCTAGAAGATTTTACACGGAGCTAGTATCCAGGCATTTTCCCCCTGATACTATGTCCTTTATACTAGAACTTGCCCACAGGATTCAAAACACCCAAACTCAAAAGAGTAGAAACTTCTCATTCTATTGCCTGTACCACCAGCATCTTCTGCAACATGAACACTGACAAGATAACACATGATCAGAACACAAGGTTACATACTTAAGGCTTTGGATATCGCTTTTCCATTCCACTTCTTGGTGAGCCAATATGGATTTCAAATCTTGAGTTTCTTCCGCTATTAATTGTGACTCCTCCTTTTCACTTTCCAATTTCCTTACTTCTCTCCAGACAGCTGTATACCGATTTTTTTCACGTTCTATTATCTGTTCATATTCAAGAAGTATGTTTTGAATTTTCAACAAAATAGCAGAACCTATTTTGAGACAGAAAAGACACAAAGCTGCACATATACTTTCCAATGTATAAATTATTTAACGCTTTGCTGTACTGGGTGTAGGTGGCAAGGTTCTGATAGTGGGAAGACTGCAGGTAGCGGGGAGGCCTCTGTGAGAAGAGGCCAGAGGTTGCCCCATGCAATTGCCCACAGCCAATTCCAACAGACCCACCACAGGGCACAGCTGAGCCTCTCAGCCACGTGGGTGGTACCTCAGGGAAAACATATATTAGGAAAGGACAAAAATACCACACAGGCACAGGAGAAAGAGAAAAGAATGTGAAAAACAGCCCTGTGAACACCCAAGTCAGTCGAAGGAGGAGGTACACCAGGTGTCAGAGCAGAGATTCCCCTGCAGCCCATGGAGACACCATGGTGGTATAATTATTACCCTGCAGCCCCTGGAGAGGACCATGCTGGAGCAGACATGCATAATGCAGTGCAATGGAGGACCCCATGCCAGTGCAGGTGGATATTTCCTGAAGGACCAGCAGCTCATGAAGAGCCCAGGCTGGAGCAGATTTTATCTGAAGGACTGTAGCCCAAGGAAGGTCTCACACTGGAGCAGGGGAAAAGTGTGAGGAGGAAGAAGCAAAAGAGGGAAACTGCTATGCCCTGACTGCAGACCTCAGCCTCCCTGTGCTGCTTGGGGAGGGGTAGGGGGAGTTGGGAGTGAAGGAGTGATGTTGAACTTGAGAAGGGGGTGGTAGGGAGGTGTTCTTTTGGGTTTTTTTTGTCTTTGTTTCTCACTATGCAAATTTATTTTAACTGGTAACAGATTAAGTTAAGTTTCCCCAAGTGGAGTCCATTTTGCCTGTGATAGTAACTGGTAAGTGATAGCCCTGCTTTTGTATTGATTCTTGAGCTTTTGCATTCTATTTTGTCCTGTTGAGGAGTGGGGTGGGTGGGAATTTGGCCTTCAGCCAAGGTTAACCCTTGCCTAACAAAATTTTAGCATAGTTTAACAGACGTAGTAAGTGGTGCTTATGTTTCTATAATGCTATGGGTATATATGTAAGCATCTTATGACAGTTTATTTTTTATTTTTTTAGATATATATTTAAGCAAAGCTGTTATTTTGCTGTACTATTTGTCATTAGCTATTGAAGGGATGTAAAGGTGAAAAGAAGATCTTGCTAACTTTTGATGACTGCATTAGATGGAGCTGAACTGTACTTTGCATGAACCTGCTTCTCCAACTCCACTAGACAGAGAACCAATGATATAGTAAGGCATGTTTGCTGACAATACAGGCAAACATCTAAGGTTAGGTGAGATAATTTCACATCTTTTGAGGGGGATCTCTAATCATAAAGAAATATTAGATCAAAATATAAAACTAAAATACCCAGGAGTGCAAACAAAGAAATTATGTTTTAAAGAAGGAACTTGTAACAGCTGAAGACAAAGTGACTTGAAAACACACCTGTATGATCCACACTAAGCTGTTCTAACAGCAACATGGCCTCTTTGTAGGTTGAAGTTGGTAATTCAACATCCTCTGAAGTTGTGTCAGACGAGTGAGTTAAGTCAAGATCATCAGTTACATCCACTTGTATGCTGACCTACAAACAATACAGTATTTTCTGTATACGGCTATAGGGTATTACAGATCATTACAAATGCACGAATCATTCATTCTCTCATTCACACCCCATAGATTTGGCTTAAATACAATAAAGCTGCGTACTAGCAGCAATTTGTGCATCTGGTTGATCACTACCTAAACCCTGTTCCCATCTAAGTGACTAAAAGCTGATATGCACTATTCATCAAGAAACTAATTTTACAGTACCTTGTTCTTGTCACTCCCTGTTTTTGCTGCAGGTCTGGAAAACAGAAATATATTTCAGTACTGGAATGCTTATACTGCATTATGAACAATGTCTAAAGTTGCTCTGAAATCTTAATTTCAGAATTAAACTAAAATTTAGTATGAATTTTGTTAGATGTAGTTGAAGACTGAAAAAAAAATGTGTACTATTATGACTATTGAAAGGCTATTTTTTTTTCCACAAAATATTAAGAAAATAGTTGAAATAACTGTTTCTCTGCACTTCACTCAAAGCGACAGGAATCTTACAGCTACAGATATGCAGATACAAAGCTATGTGCGATCCCTGTTCAATACTAGAGGTTTAGCTCTCGTCAGTATTGAGAATCCTTCCTTTACAGGTCAAAGAACCATAATTTTGGATTCTCTAGTGTACCAGATCTGGGTTAGATGTAGTTAATTTTCTTCACAGCAGCCCACACAGTGCTGTACGTTAGATTTCTGACCAAAATAATGTTGACAACACACCAATGTTTCAGCTGTTGCTGAACAATACTTGTACAGCATCAACACTTTCTGTTTCTCACTTTGCCCCCCACGTGAGTAAGTTTGGGGTGAGCAAGAAGTCAGGAGGGGACACTGCTGGGGGGGAGGTGGGAAAGGCATAAAAAACTGAGATGCCTGCAGTGAAAGAGTAATTTTGCTCTTTCGTAAGTCTCTCCTCTCCCTTTTAAAAAACATAACGTAGTTACAAATGTGCACACACTCACGTAATTATTCACATTTTGTGCACATCTGACCTTGTCATTAACTTGGCTAGTATGTTCAAAGCACTCTAAGCAAAAAAGAAGTGGCTTTGAACACAAAGGACATCAGTTAGTATTGTTACATAAAAGAATAAGAATCATTATACACATCAGGTTCACAAAATTTACCTTTAGCTTTCAGGTCAATTTTTATCAATAAGTAAGTTTTATTTACAACATTCGTTATACTCAGTACCTTCCTTCATCTTGAGATGTTTCACTGAAAGTGCTATCATCCAGTACTTGAAAATGATTCCCACTGGAGGAGCTCATCTGCTGATTAGCCTTCTGCTTTGAAGTCTGTCTTTTATTTTTTTTTGCAACTTTGGCATTCAGGGCAAATTTACTACTTCAAACAGAAAGAGAAAAAAACACCACCAATTTGAGTAGCTTTACAGAAAATATTTCTCTGAAACAGGCATACTTAAGATGATGTTCAGAAACATCAGTGAGATGAAAAGTATCTATGATAAAACACACACTTGACTCGAAGATCGTGGAAGATACCCAAGTATTTAAAAAAAATTCTTCCCCTAGGAGTGAGAGGGAAACGTGGAATCTGAGCTAGATTTGGGTAAGCTGGAACAGATACAATATTCCCATTAGAGGAAGTATCTGGAGCAGATATCTGTGCCATCTTCAAACTTTTGAGATTGGTTTGGTATTATCTTTTCCCTTTTCCTGACACAGAGCATCTGAACTTAAGGAAAAAGGAAAACACCAAGTGCATAGAGATCACTAAAATCGCCTAGAAAAGGGGGAAAAGTAAAGTAAACTGCAAGTTCCTACTTCTCTTTCTTTTCTGGATGGCCATTTCCTACAAAAACAACTGTTTTTTCCAGTCTTCAACTCTGGTTTTGAAGACGCGTTTTGCCTCAGTATTGACAAGGAAATCCACAGGAATTTGTCCTCTATTATGAGCTTAGTTTTTTCTAAAATTTTTTTTTCTTCAATGTTTGAGAAGCAGTGGACTACTCAGTATGGCTTTTAGCACTGAAGAAACTACTTCAACTACTACAATATTAGAAAAGCGAAAAGATACTTAGGTAGTACTACAAACAAGAATTAGACAATTTTTGCCTTCGTTTACCCTTTCATTGGCATTTTAATGACTTTAGATCTCTCCTCAGATGAAAAATTATCTTTCTCTTTTTCTTCTATGGTGTTTTCATTCTCCACTTCCAAACAGTCATTCTTCCTTAGAGTAAGCTTGTGTTTCATTTGCTGATTAGTAATGTTGCCTGGCGGGGTGTTTAATTTATCAAGATCTTCCTGGTTTGCCACTGCTGCTTGTGTTCTGAAGCATCTTTGTTTGCTTTTTTCCTTCTCAACCTACAAAAGAAAGTGAAGTTTCATATATTTCTCAATATTTCTAGAAGAGAGAAATACCAGATTCAAGATTGAATAATTCAAGGTTTACCTCTGAAATAATGTAAAAATGAAAAAAAAATAAAAATCAAAATTCATATAGAGAAGCATTCTCACAAAATTACACTACAAAGTGTATTAAGTCATGGAAAGTACTTTGAATTCACTCATGATTAAAGACAGAACAAAAATCTAGCCCTTAGAAAGAAAACAATAATGTATCTTAAAACACAAACAACAAAAAAGTGAAAGCGCTGCTGATGCGGGAGGGGGCAGAGGGGAAGATCCCAAACCCATAAGCAGAAATGTTTTCACAGCAAACAGGAATTTTAGTGAAGGGTAATGAAGACACACCATGCAGGAATCACAGGAAATGAACAGATTAGTTAAGACCCTGTTCAGAAGCTATTTTCATTCTTTGATTCAGACTCAGAACTGATGTAATTGCGTGCATTTCTTTTTAGGGCATTGAAGTGATAACTACTTACACTGGAACCGAGTGCCACCTATTGTTAAACTGGAACAATCATGCATTCTGTGTTTTCCAGAAAATTGGGAAAAGTACAACTCTCCACTGCTCTCTTTATCCATAAGTAGTGTATTTCCATCAAAACAAAAACCAATTTGAACAAAGCATCTTCCCTTAATGATGAATAGCTAAAGTGAACAGGACCATTGATATGGAGAAAGACTAAAGAATAAGGAGTAGCAGGTGAACTTCTACCTCTTTTTGCAGCTGTACCTTCTCTTTCTCCAAAGCCAGGAATACTATTTGCAGCATTCCTACCTTACTCTTAAATCTTTCCATATCTTGTTTTAGTTCTTCATCAAGATTTCCTTTCAGCATGTCACACGGTTGCTGAGCATTTGCAAAAAGACTTTCAATTTCTGTTTCTCCTATTTTAGTACTGTCGATAAGGTAGTCCTTAAATCCAGAGTCTTTTCCACGTTTGCTTTCTGTTACAAAAAGTGCATTTTCATCACTTGTAGAAGAAACAGGTTCCATTTTAGGAAGAATATTAGAAACATCATCCAAAATACTTGTTTTTAAGCTATGTCTCAGAGCATATTCAGGATTTTCCTCTACGTTTCTATTACTTCCATTCTCCTTCTCTTCCATCTCCATAGCAGGCATTTTCTTTTCCTCTCCTTTTACTAGAGGCCCCTTTGTATTATCCATATTGTTTGTGCTATCTTCTTCCTCTATACTCCGGGTATGTTTCATGTTTGCATTTAAGTTATTTTGATCAGGAAGGACACCAAGACTTGGAATTACAATTTCCATTTTAGGTACTTTTCCACCTAGCATAGGTTTAGTATCTCCAAATTCATGTTTACTTTCTAGCTTACTACTTGATTTTGTTGCATGAGATGACACAACATGAGAACTCTTCAATTCTTCACTGAAGCCATCTTCTGACCTTTCTTCCACAAGGGAAGTAGTCTTCCCAGTTTCATTAATTTCACCAAACAGCTGCTTCAGCTCTGCTGTAATGTTTTTAAAATTTGTTTTCAATTCCCTTTTCTCGTTTTCAACCCACATTCTTTCATATCTTTCTTCCCAAGGTTTTGGTAACTGCTTGCCAACACTGTGCGATTCCTCATTTTCTGTTAGGGCTTCCTGATGCGAAATTTCTGCTTTGTCAGTTTGATTTTCATGTGCTGTTTTTTCTATCAAGTTGGTAGTTTCTAAAATATATTTATCCTTAAGTGAACAGGTACAGACAGAAAGATTACCAAGAGAAAGGAAGTTACAGTTAATCTAGGTAATTTCTGTTGCAGACTCATCCTATCATATAACACAAATAATAGAAATAAGACACTTTGAAAGCAATTTTTAAAATAAAAATGAAAGGATATAAATTAAAGGTTCACTTAATCATAATTTTCTTAAACATAGAAGGACTTACTTTAGAGATAAGAGTTTTTCTTGGATTAGATTTGTCTAGACAGTAGGGCTGCTTTTACCTTTTAGCCTGCCTGTTTTCTGCAGCTGGTGGCATTTGCCACAAAGCAATTTATTTTTTCATGTTTTATTGCTTTAATACCATTTTTCTTTACAACTGCCTACATTTTCTCACCTTCCTTCCTTCATCATTCTCTACTGTCTGGCATTTTACAGTCCCTGCCAGCTAAGCTAATACAATGTGAATGAACATGACAAGCTCTTTACTGTCCACCACATGAAGAATTGGCTACGTTTGGACTATTCCTTCACCCAAGATTCAGAAATATTAAATTCCATTCCAAGCTCCAGAGAAAAGTATTTATCAGGGAAACCTGTCCATTCCTTCCCTCATCCCAAATATCAGGAACCCAAGCTTGTCTGAAAACTGCACCATGCCTCAACTCCACCCAGTCTCCTCACATCCCTGACCCCATCCCTCTGTTCCTTAACAGTTCTGATGGCTCCTGTCACACTCCTCTCAACATGCTCCCTTCCCTCATCCCTCACGGTGCCTTCTAAGTAAGGCCCGCAGCCTTGGCGTCCCAATGGGCTAACACCATTCAATTCCCCACTCTCTTTTCTCATTAGCCAGGCCCTTCTTCTCCACTTGCAAAAATTCTGCCTTTCAGAACAGGGAAGGAGCACCGCAGTCAGCCACCATCTGCCTCGGCCTCTCCATTCCCAAGTTCATTGCCCAACTACTATCACCACCTTCCAATAGGCTTAAGTTCTGTGCTCTGCCTGTTAAAATTAAGCATGTCTCTATTTCATGGTGTCTGGGTGTGAGGTAGAAATAATTTGCTCCACTGTCCCTTGAGGTATTACAGAGAACTCCAGACTCCTCTACCCTGCCCTATCCTGTACAGTCAACACCAAGAGGATTCCTGCCTTATTGCCCTCTAGAATGTCCTCTGAAAAAAACCTATTTTCAAACACTTATTAACATGGCCAAACAACCGCATGTTTTGCAGAGGCAGGGAAAGCATCAGAAAGGTCACCAAATTCCAAGCTTTTTTATTTGATCTGTCTCTTACAAAGAGGAAGACCAGACGTGTTTAATCAAACAGATCTGCATATTATAGACAAATCTCCCTCTTCACTTTAACGTGCCTTTTGCGTAGGGGAAAAAAATGCATTTGACTGCATGGTTTCTCAGCACCACACAAAAGGAAGAACACTGGTCAAAATTAAAGCAAACCAACTGGGAAAAAAAAAAGAAAGAAAATCGGTGTAACAACAAGTATCCAACGTAATGACAGAGATTTTACGGTACCATAAGACGACTGTATCCAACTTTACTTCAGACTGTAATACAACCTTCATCTACAGGACTCTCCATCATTATTCACTGACTGGTATGTTTTCTTTACCTTAGTGTATAACACAGTTTACCAATTCAGACTCTAATTCAAAATATTCAGTTTTACATACCTGCACCCCATAGTCTTCAATAGTGTCCTTGATGTCCTCCTTTTCAGGTGATGATGATGTATGAAAGGGAGATCCTGAGTACTCACCTACAGTGAAAAACATATATTTTTATAACCCATGTGACTTAATACTAGTTATTTACACCTAGGGCGCACTTTGAATTATCACATTTGTGAGAAAAATCTTAACATAAACTAACACATCCTTGCAAATTTGTGAACTCCTAGAGAGAAAATTATCATAATACAGATTTAAGATGCATCTGTGTGAATTCTTTTCTTCCAGGACATTTTACTTCTTAATGTACAAAGGAAATTTGCTGAAAATCATTATAAACAGTCACAAATAAACCATTCCTGTTTCCTAAAAATGCATGATACCTCTTTCTGTATATGTATCTGACACACTGTGTGCCATGCAGTAACTAGCTACGTTCCTCCAGGAATTTTGATTTCCCTATGTGCTGTGCACAGAAAATCAAGAACAACAAAATCAGAGGCTGGAAATCTTTAAGGCCCTAGCTTTACTTCATGCATGAAACAAATCTGTCTCTAGACATGAATCTGATCTGAGTATTTCAGTCAAACTGCTGCCTCATCTATTGCAGAAGACACAGATGGGACACAGACAGGCTTATGAAATGTTGAGAAACAATCCATGATTTGGACGTTTCACTTCTACTGTTGAAAACTGGATTCCACCCCTTCCTCTCAGAATTTCTAAATAATATTGGACAGGTCACAATCTCCTCAGAAGCAGTCACTCAGTCTGGGCCCTCCGTTATGGAGTGCCTATTTTCAATCTATGTTACATCTGAGAACTGGACTCCAGATAGTCCCAGATACCATCTAGAAGCAGCAACTCTGTCATTGTTTGTGTGGAAGGCACACTGAACACTTTGAAGTATCAAGTATACAAAAAAAACCCCAAGCCCCAAGTCCCAGCACTCAAGTGTGGCATCTAAAAACAGAGATGGAGGCTCTTCACCTAAATCACTCCTTTCCTGCTCCCTAAATCTATGATTTCTACACAATAGCCTTTCTATACACAAACCTTCACCGCTAAAGAGGGACATGAATATTCTTCCTAGAAGAAAAGTTAAGACAGGGAGAAAATAAGCATCATCATAAAACACAAAAGGGTCCACTCTTTTCTGCTTTAGGTGACTTCTTTTGCAACCTTTAATTTCTTGAATGGGATTACATTAAATACAACTCATACATCTGAACTGGGAAACTAAGCTCCTCAGTCATCCATACAGGTCTCCAGAGGTCCATTCTAATCTCCCAGTTACACGGTGTCAATTAACAACCTTCTCCTCTCACTTCAATCACTGGTGGGTGTAATTTCCTGGATTTTTTTGTAAATGTGTTTTTTAGGTATTTTAACACAAGACATTTCCCAACAGACATTAGTCATTAGTGGGTTGACAGCACTTATTTCACAGGGTTGTTATGATGATCTATTGATGGCTATGATGCATTTTAGACAGTCTGATGAGTTTTAATACTAATAACAACATCATAATAATAACAAAAATAATTAATGATTATCTAAGGATAATGTTCTGTAAGGAAAATGGGCGTTTTTCCCTTTTTCTTGTTTTTCAGGATCACAGAGTAGATTTAGCCTTTACTGATTCTTGTAGATATCCCAATTCCAAGCTGTTTGCTGGCACAGATGAAGTTTCCAACCAGCATCAGAAAGAGAGGACAGATGTGCTGGTTGTCAAGGAACACTCGTAGATAGCACCAGAGAAGGTATTGTAGAGAGTGTCATAAATCAGCGATACTAAGATGCCTGGAATAAGTAAACACTTAGCTCCTATACAAATAACCTCTATAATTTGGAGATCAACATCTTCCTTTCCTCCAATAGTTATGTATACTTTTTGTAGATGGGTCCTTGTCCCTCTTACTAGAATTGTAATGTGGCTGGATAATTTGCACCAGCAAGTCTCTCCCTCATTGAGCACACAGTTCTGGGAGTGCCAACTGGAAGGGGTGGCCAGAAGCACTGAAGCCTGATGAAATCCAAGAGAAGTATCTGCACTGGTGTCACACTGATTTGTAACATCCTTTCAGAAAACAAAACAAAAAAACCTCAAGAGAGCAGAACTAGGCACACACAGGCACCCAGTATGCTGGTAATTTGCACATAAACTTCTTGGGTAGTAATAGCATCTCCTAGAATGAGAAAGGTCCAGACACACCAGTGTGCTTGCAGTTTCTACTACTCCCAGAAGCCTCTCCACCCCAAGTATAGCATGGGGTGGTAATCTCACAGACAGATGGGACTGTTCCTACACCATTTCCATAAAGGTACACTTACCAGATTTCTACTGCCACTTCATCAGTGTTTGTTCAGGTCACAAACTGCAATGTGCATGCAGCTTCCTGCTATACAACTCCATACATGTGATCACTCCCACCATGTAAAATGGACACTACAACTTTGCTTAAAAGGTAGTTTAAGTATTCTGTGGATGCAGGAGAGCTGTGACACCTTTCCTGAATAACACTGCACAACACAGACTAAGTTTTTGTGGTTGACTGTATCTACCTGAAAGCAGGATAAAAGCAGACCTGCCAGCACCCAGAGTTTTGTACTGGCCTTCTACACAGCAATTCACATTCTCTGTTCAGAATATGTAGGTGTCTTTTAATATTAGAACACACTGGTCCACTATGGGGCTACATTTCACATTACTGTGTTAATAGAGACAAACCTAAAACTCATGTTTTCACTGAAAAACTTCTAACAAACCTCTATGCATCTTAGAAAAACACTATCATCACAAAATAAAGGGCAAAAGAAGACCTGTGTTGCTTACCAGCTGCAAATACCTGAGAGAGAGGAGAAGAGCAAAAGGAGGAGAGAGATTTTTTCTTACAGAGAAGTTTAATCTCTATTATTGTTAAAAGAACAATGGTACTTTTTCTCCCATTCTAAAACAAGGATGCCAAAGAACTTGAAACTATTTGTATTCTATACTTAGAAGTTACAAGTTCACTTACCTGCCTATGTATCTGTTCACCTCTCTCTGGTTTATATTTTCAACAGCTAATTGTAGAAATTCTAAAACCTGAACGGGAATTGTTTTTAATCTCATTAAAAAATACGCAAATCGATAAATGTTAGAACAAAGAAACTGAAAAACCATTAAGGTCATATATCCTCTCTCCAACATATGCTGGACCAGCTAGCTGCTCCACTTTTAGCCTTGTTTCCAAAGAAAAGAGAATTCCTGACAGCATGCTGACACTGTCATTTCCTCCCACATTGCCTCTCTTCCCCACTTCCTTCCCCTACCTCTGAACCTGCTGGTCAGGTTCCATGAAGCAAGAGAGGGAAGCTTGGAGGAATATATTTGCTACACATTTCAAAACAACTGCCAGACAGGTAGAGAAAAGCCAGGCAAGTAGTATTTCCTGCTAAGTACAGCTACACCATGAGCCCAAGAATTACTCTTTCTGTCTCACCTGCAGCTCCTAGACAACTTAGCTTGCAGATCTCTAGCCTGGCGTCAGCCACAGCACAGGCTCAGAGAACTAGGCATATCAGGAAGGTTTTTTTTCAGAAATTGGAAAGAAAGCAAACTTCAGGACTGCCTGAAAAGAGGAGATGACAGCAGGCATGGTGGAGGAAGCCTATACCATGGAAGGATACAACATTGAATGGCAGACTAGGGGAGGAAACACACACGCATAGATGTATATTTCAGTAGACTACCTGCTCCTAGAACAGCTTGCTAGAGCCATTAATTTAATATTAGGAAAAAATTTGCAAGTACAATGTGTCTGTCGATAAAAGAACACTACAAAGAAACTGTTGTGAATACCTTCAATATCCTCGGCATCCTCTAAACCAAATTCCTCCAATAGATCTGCAAAGAAATCAATCAGATGCTTTATTAAATACTCCTATCCAAAAAGATTATGCAGCTAAACCCAGAACCACATGAAGTGAACACTACCTGATTTCTGTTGTCTTTTTTTTGGGGAGGTTTTGTTCATTTCCAAAATAGATTCGGGAGTCTTCAGCTATGAAAGACACAATCCAATGATAAAAAAACAAATTCAAAGTAATTACATACTATTTAATGAACAGAACAAGCAGTCAGTCTGACATGAATAAATATTTACCTGGGAATTGTTGGGTTTCTCCAAAAAGCCTAGAGGTGAAAAATGTTTTGAGAAGTGTTATTTTATTTAAATGAAGGTATCTTTTAATCCATTCAACATCAGTAGTTTCTACAACTACTAGTTGCAAGCATTATTTCATCAAGAGTACGATACCTAACATTCAATTTATTCATCATAAAGCATTTGTATCAGTATACAAGAAATAGACAATGCATCGTGCAACTTGGATTTAAAAAATAATAATCACGGAACTAAGATAATTCATGTGAAGTAGTAAGGCCATGCTTGCTAACAGAACAAGATCAAAGTATTTAGTCCTTTTGAGGAGCTGAATCCTGCTTTCTAAAAGGATTATTTCAAAAGTCAAAGCTGTTCGAACTGTAATGAATGATCCTATGATCATTAAGAGTCCAACAGCACTGTGACTGATTATCCTACAAGTGTTTAATGTTGAGGATCATCTTCCTTTCCAATGGTGGGACAGAGAAAGCATGGGTGCAGACACAGAAGGCTCACACACGTGTTATTCAATGAGGTAAAAAAATCAAGCTAGTTCTCATCAGATTATTCTGGTTTAGCTTGCAAGGAAACAAAAGAAACAAATGTTCTTTGGTTGTAACCTGCATTTACAGCATAGTTTCAAATACTTTTTTATTTTTAAAATTTTTGTCCAACTTTAGATCATTTCCAAACCCACACAATCTACTGGCCCACCTATATTTCTCAAATCCTCTGCTTTAGTCATCTTACAGTTTGAGTCCTCTCATGAAAAAAGTATATGAAATGTTACTAAGAACGTCTCCACAGCGAAATTTTTATATTTAGAAAAAACAACAAACTCATTATTAAAAAACAAAGAGTATTTGATTTCAGTTCGGTGGTCTAGCGGTACAGAAATACCTCAGAAAGATTACCATAGTCACCTTTACCCCCTTTTCACACTGATTTTAAACTTGTCTTAGAATTGTACAAAGCAGACTTCCATGAGAACTACTCAACAAGTAGATTTACAAGCTTCCAGAAGCTTGTGAAGTTTTCCTTTAAGCTTACTAAACTAAAACTGGATTAGCTTCTTCAGCTATTCTATTGTACCTATACTACAAGCAGGACTGACGAACCATTTGTTAAAGGAGAAATCCTTCAGAAAAGGATTCTACCCCGATAGCAAAACTTCCCCACCACCCTATGCTCAAGATGCTCAAGTGACAGTGTCACAAACTACAGACAAACCCTTAGCAATCTGAACTTTTAGTCACATTTTAGCTCCTAAGCAAAGCAAAACAGAAAGCTATCAAAAATTAAGATAGGGGAAAAAAACCCGCTTAGCTAGATCATAGCTTTCTTCTGCTGCATTATCATCCAAGAACGTTTAAAGGTTCAGACAGGTCAGCCCTAAACCATGTATACTTTCTTCACTACGCAATGAGAACCTGCACCCAAAAAAATACATGCCCAAAGAACACACATAAGGCAAACACAGCAACTTTCTTTACAAACTGGCGAGAAACCACTGTGACAACTGGTGTTAAATAACAAATACTAAACACTTCATTGCTATAGCACACATCCAATCAAAACAGCATTCCTAAGACAGACACTGATAAAAGTTCACTTCAGCCTATAAATGCTTACAGACGAACATTTAGTCCACCAGGAAGTTACCATTGTCGTGTTCCCCCGACACAATCTGTGAGCATACTCCATGTCTGTCTGCAGCTGGGAGCAACACACCAGATGACACTTTTCTCAGACTTTCAGAATCCGTCTGTATAACCTAAAACACATGCATGAGAATTGACACAAATGCCTTTTCAACTCATTTCTATGGAAAAAAACTCCTGCTAGGCCAACTTGCACAGCATAGTATCAAGTATATTAGAGATACAAAAACCTTTGATGAGATCCTTGGAAAGGACACAACGAGACATAGCATATCAGAAGAATCACAGTAGTTGTGAGGTTTTTGCCTAAGATCTGAAAACACACACGACTCATCCAAACTATTCTGTCATGAAGACAAACCTTGATGAACTGGACAGCCGCAAAAGAGAATTAACATGGTAACTCAGGATGTGGGTTGTGAACCAAAAACCGCAGGTCTGTGATGATCCAGCTTTTGTACTGAACTTGTACCTGACATTCAATTTGTGCTTATGTTCCCTAGGCAGGTATCCTGCAGTGTTGAGTGAACACATTGCTACTCCCAATCGCAAGCGCGATTTAGGTTGAACAAAGACTAGCAAGGCAAAGCTTACAGAAACTAAGACTACCTAAAAACCCTCAATAATATTTTAGTCTCATATTTTTAAAGAGTAGGTGGGGAAGAGTTTGTTTTTCCTCACAAGAAAAGCCAGAGGGGTTAGCTACACATCCTGCTCATTTTATTCTAGCCTGTTACCACAGACAGAAAGAACTGAAAAGGCAAACACAGCCAGCATGTGTGGTATTCTCTGTTGAATGTGGCTTTCAAAAAGGGCTGAAGTACACCTACAAAAGGGAGAGAGGATCTAGTCATAAGCAGCTAACGGTCTAGTGTGGAGGCTCTAAGGGCAACCACTGACCAGGTCAGCAGAACAGAGCTGTGTGGTGAAAAAGCAAGAATCCTGCCAGCCCCTGTGAAAAGCTCAGACTATTTTACGCAGCAAGAAAATTCAACTGCTTCAACATTGTACTAGAAATCAAACTCAAAGGTCAGTTGCTATGAGACCCAAGTTGTTAGCTTGACCTGACGTCATCCCAGTCCTAACTGAACAGCTGGCCTAGAGCTGAGGTATTTCAAGGGCCCCCACTTACACATGGCAGAAGCAGGAAAAGAGGAAATCAGCCTCATCAATGGTAGGGCCCAAGTAGCAGGCTCTCAAGGGCTTCTGGATCTTACTCCTACCCTCCCCTCACTCTGCCCCACCGCAAGTGGGAACCTCGTGTCCTCAAAAAGTACCTCAGAATCCCAGGGAGATTCAGCATCTTCCTCTTCCTCTGCTCCCACTGCCGGCAGGGCACCTACAAATGAAATAAGAAGTGAGACACTGAGCGTTTATATTTCACTCTGCTTTTCCCCATCAGTCAAGCCCTGCATCCAAAAGATGTGCAGTGGTTCTATCGCTGAAGATAAACTAAGAAGTGAGCGTTATTCAAGGGTTTCTTCACACCCAGCCACATCATGGTATATCTTTATATCACCACCTCCTCTTGCCTTCTTTCCAGCAGAAGATGGCTATGCACAACAGCTGACACGGCTACAAGCAACGCCCACCACATGTTTGGGTAACATTCAGGAAGAGACTCCAGCATGCTGCAGTCCTGTGGTATAGAGAGTTTCGGTCACCTGCTCTCCAGCCTACATCTCCAGAATTTGGCAGCTACTACCACTTTCCATTTTACTGGAAGTATCATAGAAACACTATTCAAAATATCCTCGCACTAACATCACTAAAATCACCATGAAGCAATGCTCCTTTTTTACTGCTACCAGGAAAGATCTTTCTTGATAGAGTTGTTACCCTGCACCTTGCCAGTAGCTAGACACCTAAGCATTGCCATTTGAAAATAGAGGCTTACAGTTCAAACACTCACCACAAACACACAAAAACCACTTCTATCTCAGGGGGTTAACATCCAAATCTCTTCTCTACCAGATGAACATAAGGCTCAGTCTCAGTGGGTTTCTGGCCAGATTAGACTATCTTCACTTCTCTGTTTTAAGCTATTCCATTAGGTAAAACTCGTTCAGGATTCACTCATGTGGAGACATGCAAAGAAGAGGGAAGGAACTGGAGACCAGTGAGGGCACCCACCCCAGAAGAGGGAAACTGCTGGTTCCAGCCTGGGCTCTGACTACTGACACTAGGCCAAACACATGCTTATGGTGAAATGCATAGAGAGAGAAGAGTACGTATAGGCACAACGCTTCAATACAGCAGGCTCTGCCAGGCCCCCTGTGTAGCATTTGATCAGCAGCTATATGTGCTCTGGTAACATTTACCACATGAAGCTACTCTCTGGAGACAATGGAAACGGTGCCTTCTCCTCCTGCTCCGAGAGCTGCACTGAGTACCAAAGTGCTCAACTCTGACCAAGCTGGTAACACTTTCAAGCACACACAAATGTGGCACTGGAGAGACCTTCTACATTTTAAAACTGGACAAGGTGAGGCACTGGAACAGAACAGCTTTCTCCCACCTTGACTTCAATCTTTCCCAGGCTTCAGCCAAGAGCAATCACAGCTTTTCAATCCGACAGCGCAGGACAGAAAAGGCAATAATACTGTCACACCCAAGACATTCTAGTCCTTCTCCTCCTTTTGATCTGTGCATTTTGTTCAGATGGCTTCAGGGAGAATACAGCCACAAAAGCAAGAATGGCACTTGCTTCACATTGCACTGTTTGGAATCCAACACCACAATTTCAGTTCTTCAAGAATGAATGAAAAGGGGAAAAAAAGCTGCCTTCCTTCTCTGCCAACATCCACCAGGATTCACAGGCAATGGAAAAATTTGCTATCTCAGAAGTCAATCACCATTTTAGTTCATTTACTGTTCATTAATATTTATAGAGGAAGAATTTGGATCAGTATTTACTAAGTCATTTCTCTCACCAGTGTTGTCTTTTGAAGCATCATGGACTTGATGGCTATCAGTACAAATAGAATTTTTCACACCCTCAACAACTGCAGTTTGTAGCTCTTCACCAGTGTTGTCCTTCTCCTGCTCCTCCTCCTCTTCTTCCTGTTCAGGTGATTCTTCCTAAAAGAGATCAACCAAAACAGCTGGAAAGAGCAGAAACAGGCATCTTCTTCACCATCCATCAACAACTTGAAGAATACTTTTCTTGTTTAAGACAAAAGAGAAACTGTGCTGAGCTTTGTTTTACAAGGCCTTTGGTTTTTCCACAGGAATCTATATGAGCAGACAGCTATGCCTAATTTCTGAAGTCTCACCCCTGGTTCTGCAAAGTCCCCAAGAAGCACTTCCTCATGTCAGTCTAACTCTAGCTTCATTTAAGTTACATCATTCTGGAACACATTCCTCCTTTTCCCCTACTTTGCTCCAAGGAAAATCACTAGTTTCCTGCTCTCAATCTTATTCAAACTACTTTCTTTCCTCACTTGCAGCCATCACACCATGAAGTTTACTAAATAGCAGTAAAACTTCACAGATAACATCTGTACTTGCAACTGAGAAAAATGTAATTGATTCCAGAAAAAAAATCTACTGCCTATTTTATTCCCTGCAAAATAGAAAAAAAAAATTGAAAATACTGCCTGATACTTATTCTTATACCTAAGAAACTGCTTTAGCAAGGAGTAAGACATTTTCTAATATCAAAAAATGATGATCAAAAGATGGATATATGTTAGGAGTAAGTATTAAAGTAATCCAGCTTACCATATGTTTGTTACCTACATTACCCTGAGAAAATATCCTTTTGATTGAATGATCCTGTATACTTACTCTGCTGCTGGAGCGAAACGCTGCTCTTAAATTTTCTTCACACCTATTTAAGTGCAACTTTTCACTTTCTTGTTTCAGTGCTTCACAGACTTTATCATCTACTTCTTTATATTCCTCCTCTTCAGTATCTTCATCACCCACACGTTCAAGAATGACAGAGTTCAGTCTTTGACTTTCAAGTCTAAGGTTTTTTGCTGCTGACCAAGAATTATTACCACTTTCAAAGCTATCACCGAAGCTTGACTTTCTCTCTTTAAGATCACAACTATCTGAGAGAGGCTGAGGTATTTCTCTTTTCCAGTCTGTCATTTCAGAGTCTGCAAAACAGGAGTCTGCATTTTTATGAAACTTATCCTGAATCATGCTTTTCCTGTTCCAGTTTTCCTGTATATCTTGCAAATTATTTAGATTTTGAAAGACAGCTTGTTTTGGTATCGACTTGCAAGACACTTCATTATTCATTATCTTTGGAGACATGGCAGTTACATTTTCTTGCAACCCTTCATAACACCCAGCTATAAAAGAGACAGGAGTATCAACAGATTCCTCCACCTTTTCATCAAGTGCTTTACTTACTTTATCATCAGCAGCACAGACATATCCAGTTCCACACTGAGCTTCCCCTTCATACTTGGCGTTACTAAAACGCTCCAATTTCTGATTAATTTCTCCTTTAGGTTCTGTTTTATCTCCCTGCTCATCCTCCAGTATGCCATTAGACTGAGTTTCTTCATCTTCCAGATCTTCCTCCTCCTTTTCATCTGGACTAAGATCTTCATCCTCCTCTTCTTCCTCCTCCTCATAATCTACATCATCATCTCCACTGTCATTTTCATCATCATCTTCTTCCTCCTCCTCCTCTTCCTCCAATTCTTCTTCCTCCAGGTTGCTTGCATCTGAAACATCTCGATTCGACAATTTTCCACATTCTCCTTTGTTCAGGTGCGCATCTGATGGGGCTCTTTGTTTGAGGCTTTTCTTTGATGACTTAGGACTTTCAATTCTAGAACCATCACCATCATCTTAAAGCATAAGAAAAATGCATGTGAACAAAAGAAGTTATGTAAACAGAAATAGGCATGTTAGCAGATTAATGCACAGGAGAGGAGTCCCAGAGGAGTCCCAGAGTGGTTTGGGTTGGAAGGGACCTCAAAGATCCTCTAGTTCCAATCCCACTGCCATGGGCAGAGACACCCTCCACTACACCAGGTTGCTCAATGTCTCAACCAACCTGGCCTTGAACACCTCCAGGGATGGGGCACCCACAACTTCTCTGGGCAACCTGTTCCAGTGCCTCATCACCCTCTGAGTGAAAAATTTCTTCCTTCTAATGGAAATCTATTCTCTTTCAGTTTAAAGCCACTGCCCCTTGTCCTATCACTACACGCCCTTGTAAAAAGTCCCTCTCCAGCTTTCCTGCAGGCCCCCTTTAAGTACTGGAAAGCTGCTATAAGATCACCCTGGAGCGTTCTCTTCTCCAGGCTGAACAGGCTCAACTCTCTCAGCCTGTTTTCATAGGAGAGGTGCTCCAGTCCTTGGATCATCTTTGTGGCCCTCCTCCGGACTTGCTTCAGCAGCTCCATGTCCTTCTTGTGTTGTCAACTCCAGAGCTGAATGCAGTATTCCAGGTGGGAACTCACGAGAGCTGAGTAGAGGGGCAAAATCACCTCTCTTGACCTGCTGGCCACACTTCTTTTTCTCTCAGCCTGTTTTCATAGGAGAGGTGCTCCAGTCCTTGGATCATCTTTGTGGCCCTCCTCCGGACTTGCTTCAGCAGCTCCATGTCCTTCTTGTGTTGTCAACTCCAGAGCTGAATGCAGTATTCCAGGTGGGAACTCACGAGAGCTGAGTAGAGGGGCAAAATCACCTCTCTTGACCTGCTGGCCACACTTCTTTTGATGCAGCCCACGATATGGTTGGCTTTCTGGGCTGCCAGCACACATTGCCGGCTCATGTTGAGCTTCTCATCCACCAGCACTCC